ACTCTGTTTTCGTCAACTCTGTTATCATCAAGTCTGTTTTCGTCAACTATATTATTTTCAACTTTTAGTTATTATCAACTCTATTAACTCTCATTTTTAACCCTATTATTGTCAACTTTGTTATTATCAACTCTAATATTATCAGTTCTGTTAGTCAACACTATTATTATCAACTCAGTTACCGTCAACTCTGTTATCGTTGACTTTATAATAGTGAACTGTTTTCTTCAACTCTATCATCATCAACTTTGTTATCATCAAGTCTGTTATTATCCATTCTATTAGTCAACGTTATTATTATCAACTGTATTATCGTCAACTCTATTATGATCAACTGTTATTGTCTACTCTATGATCGCCAACTGTATTATTATCAGTTCTGTTAATTAACTCTATTATTATCAACTTTGTTATCGTCAACTCTATTATCGTCAACTATATTATTATTAGTTCTGGTAAATAACAATATTATTATCAATTCTGTTAGTCAACACTATTATCAACTTATCCCCAATGCTGTTTTCAACTCTGTAATCGTCAACTCTGTTATAGTCAACTTTGTTATAGTCAACTCTGTTATAGTCAACTCTTTTCGTCAACTTTGTTATTGTCAATTTTGTTAGACAACTCTAATATCGTCAACTCTATTATAGTCAACTGTATTATTATCAGTTCTCTTAAATAACTATTATCAACTCTATTATCTCCAACTCTATAATTGTCCAATCTGTTATCATCTATTCTGTTAGTCAACTTTATTATTATCAACTTTATTATCAACTCCGTGATTAACTATTTTTCATTAACTGTTTTTGTCAACTCTTTTACTGTCAACTCTATTATCAATTCTGTTAGTCAATGCTATTATTGTCAAGTTTATAATTGTCAATTGTTTTCGTCAACTCTGTTACCAACTCTATTATTTTCAACTCCGTTTTTGTCAACTGTTATCACCAACTCTATTATCAATTTTGTAAGTCAAAGCTATAATTATCAATGCTATTCATGTCAACTCTATTATCGTCAACTGTTTGTCAACTCTGTTACCTTCAACTATATTATTATCAATTCTGTAAGTCAACGCTATTATTATCAACTCGGTAATTTTCAACTCAATTTTTTTTAACACTATTATTATCAACTCTGATATCATCAATACTGTTAGTCAACACTACTATTATCAACTCGGTTATCATCAAGTCTGTTATTATCAACTTTGTTAGTCGACTCTATTATCAACACTATTATCGTCAACGCTATTATTATCAGTTCTGTTAATTAACTATGTTATTATCAACTCTGTTATCATCACATCACATTTACATATTTTGCATAATTTTACATAAACACTGGCTACAGTTTACTGTAAATGACACATTCGCTGGGTATCGAGGTGCAGCTGGAGGAATATGAATGTCAATGTCTGCAGCGTTCCCTCAGGTGTGTGATGATCAGTGTGATGAGCAGCAGCTGTGGGGGTAAATGAAGGGTCTGCTGTGAGCATGTAAACACTCCTGTTCCTAATACTCTCATTTCTTCAACTGTATACACACACACACACACACAGTGCTGTGATGCATCTAAACATGAAAGCGTGTGCATGTGTCTAACAGTGATCCTCGATTCAGCAGAAGCGCTGCTGCCCGATCCGTTTGGATCTGCTCTCGACAGGCCAGATTTCACAGAGGAAACGAGGAAAAACTGATGCCATGGAAAAAGGCTTTACTGTGGACTCGGGGAAGCCTGCGAGAAGGGTTTACATG